TTTGACGGCACTGCGGGGCTCCCAGACGAGGATTTAGAGGCCAACTGTAACTGACTGCCACTTTTGGTAATGTGTGTGTGTGTGTGTTTACATACACAGGTATACCTATACATAAGTGCTGCAAATAAGAGTAGGCCTTTCAAATGATGCTGAGCTGTCGCTTTCCCGGTCTGGCCGAGGTGATTCCAGAGGAACACTCCACTTCGAGCTGTGAACCTGCTAGATGTTCATTGATCCAACTCGGCCCCGTTGAGAACCCGAGGCCTGGATTCGTGATCAGTATGGAGATTGTCTATTCCGGGAGAGTGCAAGAGCCGTGGTTACGTCTTTGTCCGCCACTGAATGGCCAGGTTATGCGTGTTTCTGACTTTCCTCCAGTCAAACATCCGTTAACCAAGGGACGTATTTCCACGTTGGGAATTGCATGTGTCCGCCTCACAAAACAACCAATTGGCGGGGAGCCAAACCGCCTGGTTCTAATGAGAAACATGTGACCCCGTCACCCAGCCTCGTGAACGTGTTTAGACAAAGCCCAGCTGTTGACATCCGCCAACTGGTTTGCTCTAGACATTGGCCTTATGTTCAGATGTTTTCCCCCCCGACTATGTCTCAAGTTTTTTGCTGCGTTTTTTCTGCGTATGTCTCGTTTTCTTTCCCCCTCCCCCTTTTTTTCTTATGGGTTTTCTGCGGAAACCCTTGGTTCGAAAGGGAAGCCGACACCCGGCTTCCACTCAAGATCCCAGGTTGCCCGTCCTGGCGGAGGTGAGCGGCGCCAGGCCTGCACGAATTCGGCCGCTCATGGCACCGGGGCGTATCTTCGCGTTTGGCGCGGCGCGTTCTTAACGAGTCGTTTTAGGCACGTCACCCGGATTAGATGTTGCAAGTGTGCGTGTGCAGCGTTGTATGGTTGATTTCAGGCTGGGTGCATGCGCTTCAGTTCGGATGCGACTTGGCAGAGTAGATGAGTAGCTTGCCACATTGCATGCTGGGGCAAGCTTGCACTTCCCTTCAGAAAATCCTCATTCACCGACTGCTTGTTTCATATTGGGCTGGTTCGTTGGATATCGACCTTGCAAACTTTGTTTGTATCATGAGCCAAGGGAGTCTTTGTATCTCTTCGGCATGTGCGCCGCTCGAGTGAAATATATTGAGTGTGTGGATAGCGTTCGAAGGAACCTTGGATGCTGGATTGCTCTCGTTTTTTGGGGTGTCCCAACCCGATCATCCTTTGCCATTGGGTGAGCCAATCTTTCCGACTGCCGTGCAACGATGGTGCGTGGCCGCCGCGGCTATCGTGACCAATTGAAACAAGTCAAAAGCCACCCAGGTGTAGGTAGAGGCCGGATGGTGTTCCTTTGAAGAATAACAGCCACTCTTGGTGGTTTGTCACTTTGGGCTTGCAGCTGTGCCAAATGAAGCCGATGCGAAGTCTGATGCAGTTTTCCTCATGTTTGTTTCTGTTCGTGTTTGTGATGCGGCCTACGAAACGGCCAATTAGCAATGGGCACCTGGGAACCAAAGGAGGGAAAGAGGTGTGGCCCGCATAGATTCAACATGTTGCCTCGCCGCCAGAACAATCGACGAGTAGCTATTGATGTGAGGAAGAACGAGAGCGTGAAGGCCCGGGTCTGCGGGAACCAACTTGTGGAATGCGTTTTGGGGCCTTTAAGGCAAGACCTCGGCCTTACACAGCATGTGCGGACGATTGACCCGGTGCTTGGGGCTTAGGGGCTTCCTCAAGGCCAATCCCAGGTTTTCCAAACTGTTCGGTCGCAGTCACAGCATTCTCTCCGACTGCTTTCCTTTCCGATGGAGCAGCTTTGTTGAGTATGCTGATCTAGGCTTGACTGTGCAGGGGCCTGTTTCCAGCGGCTTGGCCAAAAAAACAACCGCGCGGCAGCACGAGTGCGTGCAGCGCACACACAGGACGGTTGCTTCCGAAGTGGCAACGGTGGCTTCGCCCCCAATATTTGAATCTCTTGGTATAGAGCAGGGCGGCCTTGGCCTTGGGCAGTGGAACTCGACAGTGTCTTGTGCATTTGAGACTTTTGCTTGCGGAGATGTGCTGAAGGCTTGAGCCGGCCGGAAACACAAAAGTAATCAAACCGCTGGCGACCACACCTTCCCGCTTGGCAAGCCCTTGAGGCAAGTGACACATGGGAAAGCACAGGCAAGCTCGCAGGTGTGAACATTAGCTTCAATTCGGTCACGGGGGTTTTCTACAGATTCGCAATGTCCATGTCTCGCTTGGGATGTGACCGACTGCATTCATGAGCGCAAGGGGCCTTGTGGCACACTGCATTCCAGTATACATTCCAGTTTGGCCTTGCGCCAGTGCCGATTTGCGCACGGAACAAGTGGTCATCGCTGATCTCTGGCGGATATAATATATCCAAGCCAGGGCTCCACAGGATGTTGCATTGGATTGCTTTCCTGGTGTACCGGAGCAAGCTTGGTGGCCATTCTGAGTAGCGTGTTACACGCTGTTGTGTATCCACAATATGTATGTGTCAACTCCTGCAATTGATTGGTTCCATGGTGATTCTCTGTCTAAAAGGTGCCCCATTGGGTCCCCGATTTGACACGGCATGATTCTAGCACAAACATTGATGGGCCTTTAAAAAAAAAAAACACACTCTTGGCCAACACTCTGGACAGGTCCATTTCATTTAGGTAAGGTTGCACACCCCCAAAAATATGGTGTCCTTTCAATCCACCCCAAAAAGCGTTCGAGCAGTGTGTCCGCGGCCTGTTCTCCAGGCCCTTTCCGACATCTTGGAAGCACGTGCCAGCTGGCAGCATTCGGCTTAAAAGGGGGCTCGGCGGAAGCCGTGGCCTGATATGCTTTGCTTGTTGGGATCTTCTTGCTTCACGCGCTTGTGGCGTTCGTATGTTGAGTTTAGTCCGCATCAAGCTGTGGAATTTAATCGGGTCAGGCATTTGGGAGAAAATCACATCATTTTCTGCATCCAGTCCGCGTTTTCCCCGGCACATTGTTCGATTAAGTTGACCATGTCGGGCTATGCAGTTGGGAGCAATCCACTTTTGGGCAGACAGACGAGTGTTTGTGCCCCGAAAACCGAATACTCAACCGATCTTTGTTTGCATCCATAGGCCATGGCCAAAGATCCTTAGGATTGGCACATTGCCCTGCGTATATCATGCAATGCTATGCTATGACCATCATTGCAGAATTCATGTTACTTCCTTGACGGCCTGTTCCCTGCTTGGATGTACAAGAAACAGGCTGGCCCAAGCTGTTTGGAACCAGATAGTAGTTTTAGTCTTTAGTCGGTTTAGTACTTCAGCTGTTTTTGACACTTCCCTATGCGACTTTTCTTTACGAGCTTTTGGAGACATTTCTGGCCATCCACACATCAAGCCGTTCTTTCCGTTTCAGGAGCAAACTTTTTTTGCTGCCGCAGCTGAGCCCACGCGTCACTAGCGCGCCGTTTTTTTTGCCCGTCCGGCCGCGGCTCAGGGCTCCCTGGGTCTGGCCTCTCCGCGCAAGCAGTCCCTTCAGGCGCATTCGACAAATCGAAAGTTCAACATGGCTTGGGTGGAATGGGGTCTTCGTTGGTTGTTTGCTTGCTGATTTATATTTTTCTTTGTGTGCTTGTTTGTTTGTTGGCTTGCTTGTTTGTTTGCTTGATTAGCTTGTTTATTTGTTTATCTTGCTTGCTTGGTCTCTTGCTTGTTTGTTTGTTTGTTGGCTTGTGTTTGTGTTTGTGTTTTTTTGTTATTTCTTTCTTTCTTTCTTTCTTTCTTTCTTTCTTTCTTTCTTTCTTTCTGTCTTTCGTTATTTCTTTCTTTTTTGATTTCTTGCTTTCTTTTGTTGTTTATTATTTATTGATTGTGTTCTTTCCTTCTTTATTTATTGTTTTGTTCTTTCCTTCTTGCTTTCTTTATTTACTTCATTCATTTATTAGTTATTTCCTTCTTTGCTTGCTTGTTTGCTTGCTTGCTTGTTTGTTTGTTTGTTTGTTTGTTTGTTTGTTCCTTTGTTGGCTTGCTTGTGTGTGTGATTGTCTGTTTGCGTGCTTAGCTTGTTTGTTTCTTTCTTGCGTTATTTGTGTTGTTATTTCCTTCTTCCTTTTTCTTTTGCTCGCTTGTTTGCTTGTCTGTTTGTTTATTTGTTTGTTTGTTCGTTCGTTTGTTTGTTTGTGTGTTTTTTATTTGCTTGTTTTGTGTTGTTTCTTTGCCCGTTTGTTTGCCGCTTGCCTTCTTTGCGTGTTTGCTTGTTTGCTTGCTTGCGCGCTTGCCTGCGTGCTTGCTTGCTTGCGCGCTTGCTGGCTGGCTTGCTTGCTTGCTTGTGTGCTTGCTTGCTTGCTTGCTTGCTTGCTTGCTTGCTTGCTTGCTTGCTTGCTTGCTTGCTTGCTTGCTTGCTTGCTTGCTTGCCTTCTGGCTTGCCTTCTGGCTTGATTGTTTGCTTGGTTGCTTGGTTGCTTGGTTGCTTGCTTGTTTGCTTGCTCGGTTGCTTGTTTGCTTGCTCGGTTGCTTGCTTGCTTGCTTGGGTGCCTGCTTGCGTGTGGCCAGCGTATGTTGAACAAAGTTGCTTTAGGACTGCAATATGTTGTCTTTCCAATGTTTGTTTGCCAGTATGAACGCGGCGTAGAGCTAGGGATCATGATCGATAGCCTCAGTCCGCATGCCTCCTGGCTTTCAGGTGTGCTCTTGTGGATTCCTTGCGTGCATTGGATGGATTGTTTCTGCGCAGCCTTCCCCCAATGCCCGGGTTTATGAGGCTTGCTATGAAAGCTCTGCTTGGTCGGACAAGAGGACTCTTCCAATCCGCTGCTTGCTTTGCGATCTATTGCATATGCGGGAAGCTCAAAACCATTGTCATGGAAGATCAGCAGGTATTTCCAGCCCCAAATGGCATGTGGCCGCAATAATGTTGTTTGCTTTAGCTGTGTTTTTCCGTACACTATGTTCCTTCAGGGCAATGAGAGAATCGGCCTAACGGATGAAGTCTCAGCCTCCGGCATCGACAGATAGTGATGCTGGACCTGCTCCGCACGCTCATCGAGGTGAGGGCCTTTCAGACATGGTTGTGTGTCTCAGTTGTTCAGTGGCACCTTTTTTTCCCTTTGTTTTGGTGGCTGCCTCACTAAAAATGATCTTCCCCAGAAAGGGTTCCCTTTTTTCTCCAGGGTCACCGAACAACTGAGGCAGTGTGTGTGTGTATGTTCGTGTGTGTGTGTGTGCGTCTGTGCGTGTGTGTGTGTGTGTCTTTGTGTCTGTGTGTGTGCCTCAGTGTGTGTGTGTGTGTGTGTGTCTTTGTGTGTCTGTGTGTGTGTGTGTCTTTGTGGGTCTGTGTGTGTGTGTGTGTGAGAGTGTGTGTGTATGTATATGTGTGTGCATGTGTGTCTTTGTGTTTGTGAGTTTGTGTTTGTGTGTTTTGGGTGCCCTTTGTCAGGTTGGCTGAAAAGGAAAGCGAAGAAAAGCCGGTAATAAGGTGGGTCCAACTCCCTTGACGCACACCAACATGGGCCATGGACAGCAAGATGACTTTTGTCGAGGGTTTGGGGTGTATACTGTGTCCTCACTCCCATGCACAACCTACGAGCATCATGGCCTGATATACGTGCTGGACTGCCCAAGTAATTTGGCCATGGCATCAGCGAACTTCTGAGGGAAGCAGAAGGAAGTGCATGACTATGAATTGTTCCGAGTTCGATATCCCAAGTGCTCACTTGCCCGAAGCGAATCGACCTGAAATGACTATCGGTTTGTGTTTCCCCCCATGTTGGCAACCATTGTCAGTGGCCTCCCAAGCTTCCGAGCTGCTTTTTTCCCCTTCCCCCCCATTTTGGCCACCATGTTCAGTGGCAACCGTTTTCAATGATCACTGTGATAAATCCCCACCGAAAACCAGTGATCATTGATATGGGGGGTGTCCTAAAACCAGTGATCACGTTTTCAATGATCACCTAAAACCAGGGACACCCCCCAAAACAAATCGGGTGAACTGCTCGGCACGACGGCTTCTCAGATCCTCCGGGCCCACGCCTGGGGGACGCCACGGAGTGGCCCCTGCGCCGTGCAGGCGGGACGGCACCTCGGTTTGATGAATTTGTGAAATTTGATCTTCCATTGGGTTAAGAAGAGTTTTTAATAGTTGTTTTCGTTTTTCCCCCGGTTGGGTTTAAAGGGAATCTATCACTGCTGGAACACATATGTCTTATTTTGTTTTCCTGGGGAGTTAAGCAATTGGAGGTGATCAAAAGGTCCTTTGAGGATTGGATGACCATTGGCTGGGATATGTCCCGTTATTTCAATCCCGCGAAATGGGAAAAGGTATCCATGGGTATTTGGCGGCAAGGACTATTGATCAACCCCATGTGACTCTGTGTGTAAATGATTTCTATTCACATACGTGTATCAAAGATTGCCCCCACTGACCCCCACACCAAACCCTAAACAAGACTTATAGAACAGTTCAGCCTAGGGCGTATTTAAGGCATATTGTCCTTGCTTTTTCTGCTTAGCCACGAGGGGTCTGTTCCAGGGTCTGCTGGGCACCCCCAACAAAGGCATATGCGCCAAGCGCGCAACCAAGCGGGAAATGCCGTCCGCCGTGCCGCGTGGCACCTGTCAAACATGGCACCGTGAGAGGAGATCTGCATCAAGAGGGGTTGCTCATGTTCGAGCCCTCATGAACTGCCATTTCTCACTTGCCCAAAGCCGACCTTTTGACCTTTTGGTTTCCCCTTTTTGGTCCACTTTTAGTCATGGCCCCAAAAGGTTAACCTTCTATTTCTGGGTCCTTTGGGCAACTGAGATTTTCGCCAATTCGGATTGCAGCACCTGGACAGCCAGCTGCTCAACTTCTATTAGTCGTTGTGATGGATGGTTGGTTTGTTGGGACATCGTTCGGCTGAGTCGCAAATAGGTTCAATCCACCAGACCCGGGATTTTTTGGGGGAAGAGGATGCGACGTTTGCACCGTGGTTGGCCCCCACCGCGCAGGTGGACACCCCCTGGCAGTTTCAGGTGGTTTGCGAGATCTTGGAGCCGCAGCCTCAGGGCTCTGCGTGTGGGGGAGGAGCTGGTCTTGAGCCATGCTGTGTCCTCTACTTAGATCGAACAGGGGTTGGGAACTGGAGCGCAAGCATCAGATATTGGACCCTCCGTTGAAGGGGGTGGAGCCTCCATTGGAAGCTGTTGGAGCTCGAAAAGGGCCTTGTTGAGGAACCAAGATGCTTGGGGTAGCGTAACAACAAGCTCAGACGTGTGTTTGGCAAAGCGGGTTAGAATGTGAGAAGACTGACTGTGGATTCTTTGAACATAGCTAGACATTGCAAGTAAATCAGACGCACAATGACCACACCGATGAAACATGTTGCAAGAAGGCAGTTGTTCTGCACCGGGAATACGGGGAGCCTTTGACGGACCCCCACAGTGTTGCGTGGAATGTGCTTACCGTTGCTATGCGGAGGTATGCAAGTAACCAAGCTATGAATCATTCGTAAGAAGCTTAGGCTGTTTCTAAGTTTACAATGCGTGCAACGCGGCTCGTTGTGCCACCTTATAGTAAACACACGGGTTCCAAGTCTTGCGACCAACCACATATGTTCCGGAATGATAATTGACTTGCTGCAAAGGAGACCCATGCGCAGGAACTCGTTTTATGTCGTTGCGGCTTCCCCACTTAATTAAGGGCATTCTGCACAAGGAGACCCCTTGGCATGTGTGTTGACTTGCCGCAAGCATGCTTCACAGCTCATGGGACGCATCGATGTTTGTGGTATCTGACATTTTGAAAAATCTATGCGGGCTGAACAATGCCATAGTACCCAGCAAGTCCAAAGGACAAGTTAAATGAGCACGTTTGATAAAAGTGCTGTCTTTACTGGGAGCCCTAGCATGAGTAAACGAAGGGTGTCTTTTCACGCTGTTTTCACGAGGTTTTCACGGGTTTCTCACGCACCTTTCACGGTGTTGAAATCCAGCCTCTTGACAAAGTGCTGGTTAAACGGGCACTTGGCGAAAGTGCCAGTTAAACGAGCACCTCAAAGCGCTGGGGTATGTGATGTTCGGCATTACTAATCCTTTGGCTCCGGGTTGTAGATTGCACGCTTTTGCAGATGATCGCGATGATGTCTTCACTGAGCCATTCAGCAATCCTTTTGGCACAGTCTGGAGTACGTTGGGGCATGGTGCAACCGGCAAACGGACTAGGGTTGTTTTACCCGGACTTCCCCCATTCCCTTTTGCATAGGACTTCGGGGTCCCAAGGGATTTGCAGGGACAGCTTCCCGCTTCCCTCAAACTCGAAAGGACATCTAGCAAAGCCCATAAGAAAGGCTTCCTGTACCTTCCCCTGAAAGCCACCCCGGATTGGCTTGACAGTGAACTTTGTTTCGGGGGGCAAGTTGTGCGGGAGACATTCCCCAAGCTGTTTGCGCCCTGTGCCTTCCAACTGGGAACCCTTGATTTCCAATTTTCCGTCTCGAACGACGAGGAAGCCGTTGGTTCTTTGGTCTTGGGAATCATAGAAGTGGACAGGCTTTTGGCACACTTTCGCAGGCTCAGTCCCAGCCTTCTGCGGAAGCCCCTGGTGCCGCAGGCGAATCGGCGAATCGGCGAATCCCTGCCTTCTCGGGTTCGGGGCCCACTAAAAATGGCCAGGCAAAAAGGGTCTTACTCTGGCAAGGTCACAGGGAACCCTTTGGGCCTGTCACTTCCTTCGTAAAAGAAGCTTGCACTACGGCCATTTTTGTTAGTGCAGTTCGCGTTGGTCCTTGCTGAACCGGCCGAGGCCTGGTTATATATGAAAACATTGCTTCTCGACGATTTCAATCCGAGTCTCCTGCATTCATTCAACGACGGTATCTAGCATGTACCTTTAAATTTGACGCACGCCCGGGAAGGCCGCATATTTCCGCATGGCCCTATTTTTGTTGATAGGGAACCACCTCATATGTGTTTGGTGGACATGAATCCCCACCGAAATGATGCCCTTCCACATCCGCATCTCCCTTTTTGTCCCGGCTTCGTGGTTCGAGTGGTTCCGTGCCGAGGGTCGTGGGTCGGGTTTCTCGAGGCGAATCTCTGCATCTCGCTGCGCTTGCTGGCAGAGCTGGAGGAGGCCGGCGGAAGGAAACAAAGGAGCCCAAGCGGCTCGGTGGCTCACCGCATTTTCCGGTCCCGCAGCGAGTTCCCGTGGTAGTTTTAAACACATCGCCCTTGGAGCCGGTTCCATTTCCAGGGGCCGAGTCCGAGAATTTTTCCCGAGTGGTGGGTTTAAACACCATTTTTGGCCCATGAGAATGGTGAGTGTTTGCTTGGGGTGATGTGTTCAGGGGACATAATATAGGAAGCCCTGTTTTTTGGGATCCCAACATTTTGAGTTGGTGAAGTTGCTGTGAAGGTCACAGCGGCCAAGACCTGATTGGTGGCCACCAGTTTCGCGCGGGGGATGGGCTTCCCAACAGCTGACCTTGACGCGTGAAAGTTGAAACTGCAAGGTTGCTTTCCCTAAGGCGAATCCAAGCGAGCGCACCCTCCTTACGGAGGCTGAGTGGATGATTTGGAACAAGGTTTTTACAACACAAATCCCCGGCGGTGTCATCCCGGTTTGCCTTTAAAATCCAACCAAAAGGAGGCCAATTGGTGGGAACGACAACCGACAGGGCTGACAGGGTGTCCCCATTCTTCCCGCCGGCAACCACTTGCGAGGCCGGGCTTCCTGCCAGCTACCAGCCGGAGTTCGGGATGCGCCGCATTTCCAGACAGATCCAGGAGATGATAGGCAGCGGTGAGCGCGTGTTTGGATGTTCAAACAACTTAACACGCCATGGTTTTAACTTATATGTTCAGCCAACTTGTCAAGCATGGTTAGAACAACTTTGTACACCACGTTCAACCAACTTGTATGTTATAGCCACAGCTATAACTTGGGCAACTGAGGTGATCCTCCTCACCATTCCTCACCTAACGATGGTCATAACCTACTTACTAAGTTTGTTGAACATCCAAGTTGGCATGGGGTGGGGTTGGCTGCTTACATTGCCGCCGCGGCAACATGCGTGTGGAGGGGACCGCACAAACCGACTCCTTTATTTGTATCCAAGAATACAATGCCGGTGGGATGATCCAATCCTTTCCTTCTTCGTTTCCTTCTTTGAGATGTCCAGAGTCCTGAGCCTCGGCAAACCATGAAGAAATGAAACGGCTCCTGGGAATCACTCTGCGCTAGACCAATCCTGACCGCAGACCTTCAATGTGTTTCACCCTAGCGCCCCCAAATAAATGCAATTAAATGCATGTCGGCTAGGTAGTTTCAAGGTGTATTCTCGGGTCAGTCAAAGCATGGCACTGGTTTCTGTTTGGCCCCAATCACGTAAAAACTCCCTCAGGCTGCATGGAAGCTCCCAGAAGGCCCTTTACCAATGGAACCTTTTGTCTTCCAAAGAGTCCGGGAGCTTCCATAAAAATTGCCTGGGGGAGGGTACCATCCACGGACGAATCCGATCTCCGCAGGTCCTCCAACGCCCCACACCCCGGGCACTGCGGGCACCTCGGGTACGGACCGCATGGACCGGGAGACCAGCAGCAGCCGCCAGGAGAAGGAGACTTCGCGGAGACGACAGATCTGTGGGTCAAAACTGGGGTAACCCCAAAATAGAAGCCTGGTAAATGGAGAGGACTCAAATCTGCGGTCCCCTGGTGGTTGAATTTTGTCTTAAATACCCAACTAGGGGTAGCTTCCATTTCCATTCTGAATCCAGGGATCCGGATCTTTCTAGAAAACCACCAAAAACCCTGGGGAAATGGCTGGTGCTTGAAAATGTCCACAGATCATAAGGGAACCTGCTTGATTCAATCTGACACAACGCGGCTTGGCACGCTACGCGCAGCGGCAGTTTTGAGAATTGTAGATCAGTGTTGAGAAGCCCTTGAAAATAGACACACTTCGAGCGAGGGTGATAAGGCCTAAGGGGGAAATTCGTTTTGAGAGTGCCACTCCAATGGACCCAGAAGTATGGGGCCACAACTGGCTGTGAGGTTTTCTTAGGGAAAACCAGCGATCCAATTCTCACGAACAAGCAGGAAAGCCGAATTCCGCGCAGATCTATCTTGATCCAAACGACTTCGATGGCCCGGGCTCGCCTCGATAGCAGGGCCCTGGGACTTTGGGTTGAAAAGACCTGAATAGATCAACCGGCAAACCATGGAGTTGATGTTCTCTTGCAGAAGTGAACAATCCCGGTTTGTTTCTTGTCGCGATTCCAGTGCTCTTCCTCCAACAATCATAGAAAAGGGTTTTGGAAGACTGGGTTCCTTTTGGGGGAAAGAGGGCAGTTGGACCTCTCTGAGATTGTTGTCCGGTGCAAACACATCCCAGGAGCCGCAACTGCCCAGGCCAGCATTGGTCGGGGGAGCAGTTGTGTGTGTGTGTGTTTTTGCAGGGAAATCAAAAGCAACGCCACCATTTTTGGGACCGTCCAGTTTGACACATACCCGTGCTGTGTTTGGACGAGGTTTGGCTCTTGCAACCTGGATGGCATCTTTCGTGCTTTGACATCGTAAAAGTACACTGAGACCTGAGAAACATGTCACCACGAGCCAAGTCGGAAGCTTGTACCCTCCCTCCCACTAACATGGCAACTGACAGGGGGTCCCTTCACAAGGAAATTAATCTTCCAGGTACCTCCCACAGGTGCCATGTTAGTTGGAGGAAGGGTACCCATTTTTGTCAGGATGAGTTTCTCCCGCTCGCCGGTTCTAACTTGTCCGAATCATTCGCGCAGGGAGGGCGACTACCAGCGTGGCCTCGCGGCGATCAGCGCCTTCATCAACGCCGTGAAGGCGCCGAAACAAACCCCTGACCTTTATGGGTATTTGGTAGTTCGGATCTTGGGACTGAACAACTTTGGTTGAAATGTCGTGGGATTGTCCGGATAGGAGCCACACAACGTTATTCACTTTTTGCAGAGGGGTCAACAGCAACCAAGATGTGAACCTGTCTAATGATATATTGTTGTATATTGTTATTGAGTATATACGAGGGGCAAAGCATGATAAATGTATGCCTCGGAGTGACCCCAAGAAAAGCGACACAATTGAGGCACAAACACAACCTGACCACGAAACAGTGTGGGAAGACAAATGTATACTGTAGTATGCAATACTACTTTAGTTCGGGGCGATACTGCTGTAGATTTATCGGATGTGAGAATTTGTTTCTGTGGCAATTTGATGTGAGTTCCCAATACATGCAGTGTTGTTGGATTTGAGTTTCCAATTGATTGAGTATTGCTCTTAAAGGTGGGTCGGAGCCGGGTGGCCCGCTTTTTGTCAGTTTTAGCGAACTCATGGCCTCAAACGAAGATACGATGCAACATGACGGTTGCATAGGGGGGCTGGAGTTGTCCTCCTTTTTGATCCCCATCCCCAGTTCGGGGCGGGGGGGGGGGGGGGTGAGGGAGTGTGGGCATGAACTAGTTCACGGGCGACAAAAACATATATATATATATACACATATTGTAGGCGGTAAAGAAGTTACAAATCGAGCCTCTCCAGGCGCCCAGGAGGGGGAATCAAACCGTTCTCGGAGTCTTGGGGACATTCATGGAATCACCGCGACAAATTCAGATTAGCTCGACTTTGCAAAACGAGAATGGTGTAGATAGCAGAGTTGCTGCTTCCTACTTGCGAATTATTTTTGTGCAGGGGTCCTGTTTGAGAGCAACAGCAGACAATGGCAGTGAAATGCTTTTATGTGGTAGAGTGTTCTAGTTGTGGGGGGTAGAATGAAATAGAATGCATTCAACCTTGCGGAAGGTTCTAGAAGTTGGTCAGTGAAGAATTTATCGTGCCGAGTCCGCCATGTTGACTATATGTTGCAGTGTACTACTGTACTGATCCCCCATTCATCATTTTGTTTGAGTCGCGCCGCCAATCATTTAGGAGTGTTTGAAGCTTGCAAGTGCTCTGGATTTAGTATCATGAGCGGATTCAGCGGGCGCAGCTGTGTATTGCTCCTCTGACGTATTGGCAAAATAACATGACCCCGGGCAAATGAGGCATAAGACGAATCTATATAAGCCAGCATCTGTTTCTAACTAAACTAACCTAAAAGGGACTCCCAGGGACCCGGTCCTCAGAGCCCAATGGAACATTTGTCCAACAAATTCTCCCCTTGCCAATAAAGGGCGTGCAGGGCGCAAGGCCGTCTGGGCCGCTCCTGAAGTTTTCAGATGAATGCACGGTGGAGCCGCACGCATATTCATGCCCAAGCATCGACACATTCAGCAAGAGAATTGTCCAAACGGGTCACCTCAGGCTGGGTCCCTTCCTAAGGACTACTACCAGGAGTTCGTGCCCCTGAGGGCCCTAGCAGCGGCGAATATGTCCTTCTTACTGCAGGCCCGGGAAAAACATGGGACTGGCGTCGAAAGAAGAGTCTGTCCTTTTTTGGGAAACCAAAAGGAAAACAACAATTTTGGGGGGCCGGATGCGTTCTAAAACGAGGACTCCCTAAGGGGACTGCTTGAGGGGAACTGCCATAAATGAATCTAACCAGCTCAGCTGGAGTCAACAGTTTGACAAAGCCGCAGTTGGTGGCAACTAGATGCTGGTATGCTGGTTAGCCAGATTCTTCTCTCACGGCGGTATCCTTCAGGGGAGGTAGGCAACAACTGCAAGTCAAAAGGGGGACAGTTGTGAGACTTGTGGGTTCTCGTCAAACCGAAGGACCATTTAAATAGTTGGTTTTATGTCGGCTCCCTTTGTGCATACCATCCCCGAGGTCCTTAGTGCTTGCATTTTGCCTCCGGATGAGCATATTGTGTCTCAGATCACGCATGTCTCTCAAGACTGAGGTTCCTTTGACACAGCGGCATGCCAGACTTAGTATGCAAACAAGCACGTGAGTGTTGTAGCAAGTCGCTCCATGCTTTTGATTGTTCCAGGCTTCATTCGCAAAGTTGTGATCTTCTCATTTGGGGCTGATCGTAGCCTCAAGGACATGGCACAGAGCTAAAAAGATGCCCAACTCCAAGCTGGATGGCGCCATTGCTTTTTTCTTTCTCGGAAGGCAAGGAGTGGTTTTCCGGCAAGAGAGCTACCGCCATCGTAGATCAAGCGTCCGCTTTTGGCTTTCCCTGACACTGTCCTGAGTGGTACGCATGTGTAGCAATTCACCCCTTGCCGATCGCACTTTCTACATTAGCTGCTGAGTCGCGCAATGGCGTGTGCAGCCCTTTTGCTTTCTGGATTGCTCCATTGCCATGCGACTGTGACGACCGACCGCCCGTTGAGCCGCATGACCTCTGAGAGAGGGAACGAACTCAGCTAGTAGCTGCATGACATGTTATGTTTGGGTTGTTTGCCGTTGTGCCATACTAGATAGCCCTTAAAGATGGCGGTTGTCCTTTTGGTTTGCTGGACAAAACATTGTGAAAGCAAGCTTGCTGGATGGAGCGGCACCAGTTGACGCCTGAGGCGGAGAAAGCCTTCAAAGAGTCCGGCAAGGCGGGAGAGAGTGGAATGAAGACGTGACGGCCAACTAACCAATGGTGGTGGCTCATGCGACTAAGCGCCACCGGCTGTGATGTATGAGTGCCCCTCTCCCTTCTTGCAAGAAGATAGGTGCTCCAGTTTGGTTGAACATTGACGGTGCTGATTTCAGGTTGGTTCAACTAATTTGTCAGTCCCATCGATTTGACTATCCAAGCTAGGGCCCCCATCACCCTGTCGCTGGCAGTCAGGTGCAGAGAATGTCGCTGGGTGGGGCCCAAAGTGCACACATCGCGTGTTCCGTTGTGAGGATGTGGTCCGAGCTTTTCTGGTGGTCCATCCTTTGATGTGTCCGGCAGAACGGGGCTTTATTTGGGGGTGGCCTGATGCGACCTCGCGATGCAGCAGTTGGAACTTGCCCGTTGTGCCAGTTAGTGGTTTTTGGATGGTCTGCCCTGCAGGCCATGCGTCATTGCCAACAAAAATGACAAGTCCTTGACCTCGCTGAAAGCTGGACTGCCGAACCGAGTCATGAAACCAAGCAGTGTAAAACTGTAAGGCTTGAGTTGGAGCCACTTCCCATGTGGACCATCTATTTGCTCCTAACCATTTGAAGCCCTTTGGCTCCTGGAAACCCCAGTTTGCGCCACAGTCCCAGCCCTCCCGTTTGGACTGTCGTTCTGCCTCAGCTCGCGAAGCCAAGCATGAGGGCGGCTAAACCGCTTCAGGCTTCTTGATTCACCGCGAAACGGATTCCGCGAAACGGGTTCGTTGGAGTGCATGTTCATCAATCAATTCATAGAGATCAATCTATGGATGACAAAGCTGTTAAGCTTGCTCCCACTACTTTCGCAGGTGGATGTTTTTAGTTTGCCCTGTGGCCCATGTATGGGCCATGTATTTTGGGACCGGAGGAACATAACGAGACAGCATGTCATGAACCAGTTTCTTGGGTCCATGCCCAAGCCTTCCACGTGGAATGTGTTGGGTCCTTGGAAGTCTAACCAACTTAGCAAGTAGGTTATGACCCTCGTTGAATCTTGGGTGGGGTTGGCCCCCTTATAACAATAACCATAGTTAAACCTACTTGCTAAGTTGATTGAACATCCAAGTTCTGTGTGTGTGTGTGTGTTTGCACGGACACAGTGAATAGGGGCAAGCTTTCTTCCGGCATCGACCAAGAAGCCTTTGAAAAGGCTGCCTGTTGTGCTTGGCGTCCTTTGTGAATTTCGGGAACTTGGAGGTACAGAGTTTGTTTACCATTTCAGAGGCATACAATACTCTCTCTCTCTCTACGTATGTAAATAAAATATGATATATATATATATATATGGTCCCGTGTTCCGTGTTGCTACCCCCCCCCCCCCCCCCATATATGGTATGGGTCCCCCAGGACCCCCCCCCGCCCCGGCCCGAGACCCCGAGCCCCGGGATCCTGGCACCTACGGTCCCACCCCCACCCCGACCCCCTGAACTCGCACCCCGACACCCCGGCACCCCCACCCCAGGACAAGCCAACCCACAACCAACCATAGACCAACCCAAAACTAACCCTAAACCAACCCTAAATATACCCTAAACCAAACCCTAAACCGTAGACCTCTAAACCTAAGCCAACCCTAAACCAACCCTATTAACTAACCCTAAACCAACCCTAAATACACCCTAAACCAAGCCCTAAACCGCACATCTCTAAACCTAAACCAACCCTAAACCAACCCTATATCAACATAAACCAACCCTAAATCAACCCTAAACTAACCCTAAATACACCCTAAATACACCCTAAATATACCCTAAACCACCACAACCCAACCACAGGACCACAACCACAGGAGGGGGGGGGGGTACTTGTCTGACCCATGACCATTGGAGCTGGCAACGCTGTACCATATATACGTAGGTGGACAGTTGCCTTTCTCTGTGGATGTACTAGCCTTCATACCTTGAGACCCTTGATCTGCAAAGGTGCATCGCGGGGTTTATCTTTTGGCCCCTTCGTTTCAAGAACAAGGGGACCTAGACACCCTACTGTGGATGGACGAAATCCTGCACCACTTTGAAACCATGGGAAGCCATTGCTTGTTGGTATTTACAGGGGAAATATCAGAAACCAGGGTTTCTTAGGTGCGAAATGGATTTCGTCCATCAGTATTTAGAAAGCAGGAGCCACAAGTGTCGTGCTCCTCGCGAAACTTTGCGCATATGTGCGCCAAAGCCGCGCTGAGGCTTGGAGAACATGTGTGAGCTGCCGCCAGACTGCAACTCCGTGGAGGGTGTGGTGGAGGCGCTCGAGGGAATCCGCGTGGCCGCTTGCGAGAGCATCTTTCAGGTAACCCGTCGTGTTAGCAGATCCACGAACCGCTGGAGGGGTAAACAGGGTTTGTTCCCTCATCGTGTTTGTGGTTATGCGCAAATCCTAGCGAGTTCGTTCGCCCAGCAAAGTTCCTTACTTTTTGGAGTTGTGGACTTTACCGAAGGTTTTGTTTGTTTATGCCAGCGAAAGGAAACCACTGTTTGGGGGTCCCCTACAAAACGTCACCAGATCAAAATGCGAAGGGTTTGTGAGTTCGAGTCGTTTCCCCACGCGTGCCCAAGCCATCCCCAGGTTGATCCTTGCAGTTGCCCAGCCGGGTCTCGGGCACTGACAAGGATGGCTCTGTCTTTTGAGGATACGAAAGGCAACCCACAATTTTGATTGGTTTCGCGTGTTTATACGACACACCACATATACACATTTATATAATATATATATATATATAATAGACACAATAATACTGATAATTAATACTAACTATAAATGATAACAATAACAATAATAATACTAGCAGGCATAGTACTAGTAAAACTCAGAATCACTATAATAACAATGACAATCGTAATGATTCTAATACTGATAATATGTAATATGTGTAATGCTGGAGATATACTGGATTCCGAGAAAGCAAAACCAAACAAACAGATACGACCCCCCCCCTTACGGAAGCCAACCTTTGGGATGCCAAGAGCTTCCACGAAGGCGTTCGTTTCGGCGAATCGATTCCGCCGAAGCTCGGATTTGGAGTCGATTGAGGCCGCCAACCTCGCGTGTGAGCAGCTCCTAGCCATGGGACTCAGGCTGTTCGTCGGATTGCTAGGCACAGGTGCCATCTACCAGCAGCGGTTGTGTCCCAACCACTGCTTTTTGGACATCAAGGGGACTTTGGGCCACGGGAAAAAACGGTTTTAGGACCTGGGTGCTGGTAGATGACCTTCAGTTTTTGTTTGGGTGCTAGATAGCCCAGAATATGCTTCTTTAGCATCTGGGATCGGCTCCTTTTTTTGGGACTCCCCAATTTGTTTTGCCGTGCCCCTTTTTAAATACCATTCCACAGGAGGTTTGCCGAGTCTGAGATGGACGTGCAGTGTTGGGCTTGTTCTTGGCATGCCACACTTGTCGGCAAAAGGACCACATAGCTGGGACGTGTTAAACGATCATCATACCGAAAGTTGGATCCAAGATAGCTATCGGAGCGGTGGCAAATTGACGAGAACGTGTAGGACTTGTATAGCTTCAGGAGGGACCAATATGTGTGAGCGCATAGAAGCTGCTGGGTGCATCGTTTGCATTTTACCTAACTCACGGACACGTAGGAGTCATGTTTAACCCCGAAACCATGGCACTTTTGCCGCGAGGAGCATGAGCTTGTGACGTGCTTCTCCTGCCATTTAGTGACACTTGTTGTTACAACACCAACAGCTAAAGAACTGGGTTTTTAGCTTATGTAGTGGAGACAGCCACACATGGGTTCTGTATTTGTGACTCCAGGCAATAGCAATGGCAGGCGCGTGCTCTGCTCCTAGGCCCTTTCTGAGCAGGGTCTTCCCATCGTACAGCCGCACGTGGAGTGCGCCATCATATCGCCGGGAAGACTCGTGAAGGAAGCCTGACACTCCCGAGACCTAACATGACACCTGCCGATGCGAAACAGCAAACACGCATATCACCGAGATACAACACAGAGAGTCACAGAAACATAAACATGCACAGACACAAAGACACACAGGTACGCAAACGCCCATAAAGGAAGAAGCGCCGACAGACTCCCACACGCACACACAGACACAGACACAAACACACACTCACACTCACTCACTCACTCACCCACCCACCCACTCACTCACTCACACTCAGTCACTGTCACTCACTCGCTCGCTCGCTCGCTCGCTCGCACGCACGCACGCACTCACACTCACAGACTTACACACACACACACTCATTCTCTCACACTCACACACACACATGCACACACATGCACACACACATGCACACACACATGCACACACATGCACACACATGCACACACATGCACACACATGCACACACATGCACACACATGCACACACATGCACACACATGCACACACATGCACACACATGCACACACATGCACACACATGCACACACATGCACACACATGCACACACATGCACACACACACACACACACACACACACACACACACACACACACACACACACACACACACACACACACACACACACACACACACACACACGCACGCACGCACGCACGCACGCACGCACGCACGCACGCACACACACACACACACACCACGCGCACATACACAGGTCCACACACACACACATTTACACCATTTACACTGTGTGTATTCACAGAGGCACGCGCGCTCGCACGCACTCCTGCAATCTTCTGACAGCTCAACATGTGAGATGATTCCTGTGCTGAGAGAGAAGCACCACTCAAGCGGCCACGATCATGTCAAAAAGCCTCATTCGTGAGGACTTGTGTTTTTCGTAGAGTTTCCTTAGTTCAAGTCCAAAGGGCTATGGCGAATTGCCCTGTAGCCACGCGCCTTTCAGGTACATCCATTGTGCAATAGACAGCCGGGCACCCAGCACCCGGGAATGTTCTATGCCGAGCCGAGCCAAAGTTCGGGTATAGTCCCGCGGCATGTGCAGAGCTACTGCTCATTGATCAATCATTCATTCCTGGCGGTTTGGATAGCTGTTTGTAGGGACAGCGCGTTGGTTCTTTCAGTAGAATCCATGTCATGTTCAGCAAGCATTTTTCTCGAAGTGGGTGTATTGCTTTTCCATGACATTCAGACAGCCGCTCAGCGATGGATCATTGGATTGGTTGACGGATTGAGAGGTGTCCCTTGCAATATGGGTGTATTTGTTAGGCGACCCCCAGAACATATGGTGTTCATTTTGGTTTCCGTGTTTAGCCACAAAATAGAGGGTACGAGCCTCAAAAGCAAAACAAACCCAAATGGCTTTGCATCGGTGCGGACTGCCTTACAGATACGACTCCTGCTTTATGACCCCAATCCGCATTGGTCGTTGTGGGCCCTTGCTTGGATGTTCAACGTAGTAGGTTGTAGCCATGCTTATGACTTGGCTTGCTGGGGGGATCGTCCCCACTGTAGCCATGGCTATAACCTACTTGCTAAGTTGTCTGAACATTAACGTGGGGAGCACACTAAGAGCCTGTGAGGTTGCCTCTGGAGGTTTCCCGCGGGTATCAGCGGACCCTTCCCACCTACCAACAGCCAAGAGGTATGCACTGTTCAACGATTGTCTCCTTGCGGGTGTTTGTTGGAGCTAGGCCACAATGCAAAACAGGGCATCAAGTTTCTCGCTATCAAACCATGCGTTTGTTTCCCTGGCACCAAATCTGTGCACTTCTTCCCGCGTTTTGTTTGATCGTTTTCTTTGGTGCGTTGAGCCCAAGGCTTATGATGAAGCTGGGCAGTGGATTTTTCGGACGGCAACTTCTCTCCAGCTTCATGCAAAATCAGTACATGAAGGACACCACGTGACATATGGACACTCATCCGGCACAGGAATGTGTGTTTTCCATTCTTCTTTCTGAGCTGAAGGTGCTGGCCGGGCACTGCTAACCCTTATTGGAACTACGAAGGATTTAGGGCAGGGGACCCCTGTTGGATGGTTTCGCATGGAGTGTGTGAGGGGCAAAACTCAGGAAACCATTTCCGAAACCATTTCCGGCCATGATGTGTCAAGCTGTAGGGTTGCTTCAAGCTCGTACAAGTTGTCCACACCGCAAGGGCAGAATTTGGCTTGGTTTTCCTTCACGCGTGCTTTTGCCAGAGCAATGTGTCTACCAAGCATTGGAGCAACAAAGCCATGGAGTTTCTTGAAGTACTTCCCCTCAATTTGCTCTAGCTCCTGTTTACCTGTTTCCAGCACCTGGGAAGATTACTTGCAGCGCCCACCAATCAACACTTCTCATCCCACTAGGAGAAAGTAGCTCAGGTGCCGGCCTGGCCATGCTGAACTGTTTGGCGCCCAGAGCTGGACGTGGCACAGTGAGAGTGTCGTTTCCCTGCAATGCAGACAGCTCTCGAAGGAAGCTTAGAAGGACCTTTCCTTGTTACAGACCCCAATAGAAAGTTCCGGGCAAAGACAAGATGAAGAGATAATGAATGCTTCCCCCGCTTCTCCCGCGGGTTTCTGTTGGCTTTGGATTCAGGAGCCCTTCGAGCCCAAGGAATACTTGCGACCAGTGAAGGCGATTGGAATTCTGAGGGGAGACCAGATCCCAGAAGATGGGAACACTAGAGAAGAAACCGGTCCCGGAAAGATTCCGGAAATTTCGATTGCCTAGCTTCGTAAACAAAGACCTCAGTCGCGACGCCTGACGGTCCGGTGCGGAATGGTCTCGGACACTCATTGGCATGGACGCGCGAGCCTCTTTCACGACTTGAGATTGCGTGGCAACCTGAGGTTCAGGTTGTGTGGCAGGGGCAGCATTTTGTTGCTTTGGCAGCCCTACGAATGTCACGCCATCTAGTTTGACATAGCGCAGTTGATTTGCTGTAACTAGCCTATTGCAATGGAACGCGCATCGCTTAACGTAATGACGTGAGATGTCATGTGACGTGATGTCATGCCATTAGGCGGTGGAAGCTGGGTCAATTGAACTCACGAAGGACACTGAATGGCCAGACACCGTGCAGGAACAATCGTCCGTCCACACACTCCCCGCACACGCACACACACACACACATGCACATGTTGCTGCTTCACATGTTGCATCATGTTGCTCATTTCCACATGCCCCAGGCCAGAGCTGATGCACTGCACGAGGATGCTGAATATGTTCTTTGCAATGTAGACCTGGGCAAGTTGCGAAGACGTTGTATTGCAAGCATTGTTCACAGACCTTCAGAGCTGAAACAAAGGCACTTTTGTAGGCGCGGGACATATATAGCTAGCACATCGAAGAGCCACACTGTGTTGCCCATGTTGTCCTGGGCATTGCCAAGGAGTTTATGGTGGATTTTGTTGTTCCAGATCATGGTCCATGTCAATGTTAATGTCTTGTCGCAGAGCTTGGTGCAGGATTATTTGTATGTTTGAACCTCCAACCAAGTGTTTTGCATTCACTCAATGTAGAGAAGCAAACAGACATTCCTCATGTGTCAAGCATGCAGTTTAAGTCGGCTAAAAATTGTTTGCTCTGTCGGGGCATCCACGCTAGCTTCGAAACAGAAGGGCGTATAGGGGCATATTAGGGTTACTAGTATAAACCGAGTCAACTACACCTGAGGTCCCCCTTTTTTTGGTTTCAGGATGCGGGTCTTCAACTGTGTTTTGAAGGGTCCTTGAGACAGGCTCCAGCTCAGCTCCGCAGTGTGATGCCAAGGAAGCCGAAGAAACCAGTCATGTTTGCAATCAATCAGTGGGAACTCACTTGCGACGCAAATGCTTAATGTTGACCTATGATTAATAAATAGGGGGGCACCCCCCTGAATGACCATAAATAAAGATTGGGGGATAATTTTCAGGGTCGGGCCTTGTTTAAAGGAGTTTAGTATTGGGCTCAGTTTGTTTGGTTTTCGAACACTACTTTAGAATTGGGCCAATTCAAAAGTAGTTGTTTTTCTTATTTTGCTTTGGGGGAATACTAGTTTAGAATTGGGCCAATTCTAAAGTAGTATTGAGCCAAGAACTTTTGCATGCATTTCATGAGGGTTTGCATGGGCAGGCATGTATTCCAGGAGGGATTGAAAAGGACATTCATGAGGGGCTGGCATGCATTTCAGGAGGGATTGAGAAGGACATTCATGAGGGTTTGCATGGGCTGGCATGCGTTCTAGGAGGGATTGAGAAGGACATTCATGAGGGTTTGCATGGGCTGGCATGCATTCTAGGAGGGATTGGGAAGGAAATTCATGAGGGTTTGCATGGGCTGGCATGCATTCTAGGAGGGTTGAGAAGGAAATTCATGAGGGTCTGCATGGGCAGGCATGTATTCCAAGAGGGATTGAGAAGGAAATTCATGAAGGTTTGCATGGGCTGGATGTATTCCAAGAGGGATTGAGAAGGACATTCATGAGGGTTTGCATGGACAGGCATGTATTCCAAGAGGGATTGAGAAGGAAATTCATGAAGGTTTGCATGGGCTGGATGTATTCCAAGAGGGATTGAGAAGGACATTCATGAGGGTTAGCATGGGCTGGCATGCATTCTAGGAGGGATTGAGAAGGACATTCATGAGGGTTTGCATGGGCAGGCATGCAGTCCAAGAGGGATTGAGAAAAAAATCGTGAGGGTTTGCATGGGCTGGATGTATTCCAAGAGGGATTGGGAAGGAAATTCATGACAGACAAAAGATCTATGGGCTGGTGGATGGAGAATTGACAGGTGAGGTGGCATGTGGGCTATTAGTATTTGCAGGACCACATCAGCGCCTTAGCAATCTGGATAAAGATGGAAAGTATAAAGAAGATGATGAGTTTGAGGTGGGGGGAACCACCATCATTCACAGCAAGGGACATCAGTGCAAATCAATGACATCAATTGTCAATCTTCGCAATGAGGAGCCAGAGTTGTTTAGCAAGATCATCATCATGTCCCAACCCAGTGGCAATGCGGATGGAGTTCTGATGAAGTGGATTGCCATGGAGCAAGGAGAGAAGGAAGTATGTGGCATCAACATCAAGGACTCATTCAGTGCCACATCCTGAATCAGGCACCTGCGTACATTTTGGGCCACATGACAGCACAACTTCAGGTTACAGACACTGATTGCAGCAGAGCATGGAAAAGAGATTTCACCCATGAGCTGGATAGGATGAGGGCCCAATTCAAGAGGAAGCATGGATCAGACAAGGGTTTCAGCATTGGATATCCAGAGATCATCAGGGCTGCAACAGCTCGTCAGGATTATATGGCAGTCCTCAATGAGAAGACCAACTGGGTAGTATCAGGTGCCAAGAGGAATGGTTTGATTGCATACCAGATCAAGGAAAAAAATGGTCCCAATCAAAGGTGAGATGGGCACCAGCAGGATCCCAGCAGATTGGTGCGTAAGCACTCATGGTTGGATGAATCAGGGAGGCCATTGACTCCTGACTTTTCCATCAGCAACGATGCAGCAGCCATCACTGACTTGATAGAATGGTCCAACTGCCATCCTGAACCTGATCAAGAAGGAGGCACTGGAACAGATTGTGGCCAAGAGCACAAATAAGAAGAGGATTGGCAAGGTGTTGCTGAAGAGCTCAATGCTAGCAAAAATGAAGAAGAAGAAGCTTAGCATTGCAAGCAAGCCATCAAAGCCAAGCATGACAGCAAAGCCATCAGTGAAGAAGAAGGCAGATAAGAAGGCAGTGATGAAGAAGGAGGCTGAGAAGTCAAGCAAATTGGAGTTCAAGGCTGTGAAGAAGGACATCCCAGCAAAGAAAAGTGATGATGCAATTGGTGATGAGCTCCATGATTGGATTGGCAAGGATGTGAGAGTGGTATCAGAAAAGGCAGGCCCTTTGAAGTATGGAAGATCAGGGAGTGTGTCCAATGTCAAGGATGGCACAGCAAGCATCATGACAGAGAAGGGTGTCATTAGCAAACAGATGGAGTTCCTGATGCTGGAAGATGCAACATGGAAGAAACCCACAGCATACAGGACCTTTCAGTATATCACAAGGGCATCATTGCAAAGCATGCTGCAAGCAATAGCTGCCCATCCAGAGCCATTTGTTGATACAACATACCCCTTGCTTGGATAGATGCAGACACATACCTGGAAGATCAGCGCATTGTATTGGCATGGGCATGGATGCAGTGGCAAGCGAAAATGCATGAGTCTGTGCAGTGCTTGGACCAGCATTGATGTGAACATGACTGAGATGGATGAGGCTGGCAATGAGCCCAATCCCTGCCCATGGAGCGCCCAAGCATTGGACCCTATTGGTGAAGAAAGGGGATCAGTGGCATTACTATGACACCTTGGAAGGTGGACATCCTGCATGCCTGAAGTATGCCCATGAGATTGTGAAGCTGTTTGAAGGAGAGTGCAGCAAATATCAAACTGGAATGCAGGAACCATGTTCGCCAGAAAGGAGCTGATTGTGGATATTTTGTCATTGCACACATGGAGATTGAGGCATCACCCATGTTGAAGGCCAAGCATCTAGGGGATGGCCAACGGCAATCAAGGAGGAATGGCAGCAAATAATTCAGAAGATGAAGAAGGTATTGAGCACAGAATCCAGCAAGCTACATGAGCATATGCAGGACATTGAGAAGAAAGCGTACAATCTGAAGAAGAAGCAGGATGATGCATATGCAGCCAATGAGAAATCGAAGAAATTGAAGGACATGAAGTGTCATTCAGCATTAGTAGCGACGCATGCAATGAATGAGAACAGCAAGTTCTTCATGGCATCAGATTTGAGCCATGATGCATGCATGGAGATCAGGATGGCTGAGACAAGATTAGCACCATGGAGCAAATGCAGGTTTCAGACTGGATGCCTGAGGTGCATTGCCATGAAGGCATTTGCCTACTGGATGAAGAAGGAGGCATTCCTCGCGAATACGGTGCCCAAGATTGAAGGACCAGGGCTGAAAGGGATTGTGGTGGTGGTAGTGGTGGTGGTGGTGGTGGTATGGTGGTGGTGGTGGTGGTCATTTGCTACTGCTGCTCTTGGAGGATGGGGGGAGGGGGAGAGGGAGGGAGCTGAGCATTGAGACTGATTATTGACCTTGAATAGATTGATTGAGTGCAAATCCTATGGCAAATCAAGTTTCCCTGGCATGATCCCTGGATAAGTTCACTATGAAACCATGCAAATCCCATCAAAGATGAGGGTTGGGAGCACTGACCCTGAATAAAGATTAGATGCAAAAAGCATGCAAACCCCAGGGTAAATCAGGTTTCCCTGGCATGATCCCTGGATAAATTCACTATGAAACCATGCAATTCCCATGGGGGATGAGGGTTGGGAGCACTGACCCTGAATAAAGATTAGATGCCAAAAGCATGCAAATCCCATGCCAAATCATGATCCCTGGATACATGTTCTGTGAAAACCGTGCAAATCCCATGGGGGATGAGGGTTGGGAGCACTGACCCTGAATAAATGCAAATCCCATGGCAAATCAGGTTTCCCTGGCATGATCCCTGGATAAATTCACTACCCATGGGGGATGAGGGTTGGGAGCACTGACCCTGAATAAAGACTACATGGTAGAAGCATGCAAATCCCATGGTAAATCAGGTTTCCCTGGCATGTTCCCTGGATAAATTCACTATGAAACCATGCAAATTCCATGGGGGATGAGGGTTGGGAGCACTGAACAAAAATCTGCATTTTGCATGGATCCTAATGGGAATTCTAGGTTCTTTTGTGAGCTGGGGAACTCAGGATTCATTCATTCATGTGGGGGGAAGGTTACCAAGATCATCTACAACCATGACATCGGCATCAGCGCGACGAGATACCGATGGCCCCAGTAGTGGAGCTGGAGGGCCAAGCGCACCTACTGGATGGGCAACTATGAGGGAGACCGCTCAGAGTACCTCTACGGCCAGGACAACGACAGAAGAGCCTCTTGATGAGGCCCATTTTTCAAGTACCAGGGGGACACCTTGCCAAGTGACCTACCTCCAGAAAAGGTCAAGAAGCTAGAGGTACGAGGCCATTCCTGAGGAGTACTACAAGCACACCGGACAGGTGAAGGGCCGAGGTCTTGGTGGCATGCCTGTGGGAGATCTGCAGTGGAGCGGACTCTCATTGGTCATGATCATGGCAGGTTTGCTGATCGGATTTGCAGTAGACCTCAGGTATGGCTGGGATATCAACGACGTGGGCCACCAACCATGCTGAAACAGGTGTGGAAGGAGTTCGATCCAGTCTTCATCAGACTGTGCCCCATGGTCGGTATCCGGGAACACCAAGCTGGCAGAGAACAGAGAGTATGAACGCCAACAAGATCGGCCTGGGCTGGAATTCATCAACGAGCTCTTCATCGGCCAGGAGAAGAGTAACCATGCCTACAACCTGGAGCAGCCCATCGGCTCGATCATGTGGAACAAAGGACCGTTTCAATGGAATAGATTGAAACTGTTCAAACCGAAGCAGCGCGTTGATCTTTTGTCTCCCCCTTTTTTGAACCACACCAAAAAAGTCTCAACCAAAGGATGCCCTTTTGAAGCCCAGGAGTTGCATCTCCGGTTGACGCCTTCACGCCTTCACGCCTTCACGCGCAGGACCTGAGCCTCACGGAGTTGCACCTGAAACGCTTCGCAGGGGGCGCCCGGAGAGATTGGACCTGAGCCTCACGGAGTTGCGCCTGAAACGCTTCGCAGGGGGCGCCCGGAGAGATTGGGGAGGAAGGCCGTGTCTCTTTGTTTGTGTGTTTTTCTCTGTTTTCCATTTCTGTTTTTTTCTCTTTTCTCGGTTGTAGCGGGTTGTGCTTGTTTTTGTTTGCGGTTTGGTTATTGTTTGTTTGTCTTTTGGTTTGCTTTTTCGGTTTTAGCTGTTTGTTTGTTTGTTTGTGTGTGTGTGTGTGCGTGTGTGTGCGTGTGTGTGTGTGTGTGTGTGCGTGCTTTTTTTGGTCAGTGCATGCACGGAGGAGCGGTGAACGAGAAGGGCATCTTCGTGCAGAAGGGCACGGGTTTCGGATCCAACATCCGATGGAAGAAGACCGCGCTGCGATGTTCGGGACACAATGGCGTTGGTCATGCCCATCTTCAGGGACAGATTTTTTTGAATTACTTTATATTATTTTGTATTTTTCATATTTTTCCACTGGGAACAAACGGTTAGCATTATTCATGGTATATTTTTTTGGAAATCGGTTAGCATTATTCATGGTATATTTACTAATCGTAGGTCAACATTAGCGTCCTTTGGTTTCTCGCTCAAAAGGAATAAAGGGTTCCAAGCCTTCCGGGAAGCACACGCATTCCCAAAGACTTTTTTGCTCTGAGACCCTCCTGGTGCGGACCCTTTGCAGCGACTGCGCTGGGCAGAGGTAGGGGGGCCCTCGGGCTGTTGGATGGGGTACTGGTGGATTGGTGGGAGGGTCCTGCGAACGCACGGATGTGGAATGGCATGGTTGGCTGTGTCTTGAAAGGCGGTTTTTAGACCTGATGTGCGCGCCGTGGCGTGCTGATGGATGATATAGATGTGCTTTGCGGGTCTCCCTGGGTCTGATGGTCACACCTGTGAGTGCTTAGCCACCTGCGCAGTAAACACCTGTTGGAACAAAGGCCCCGGCGTTCAAGAAAGACTTGGTTTCGAAGGCTTTTGTGCTTTGTATTTCTTGTGCATGGTAACTGAAACGATACTGAGTGCAACTTGTTGTGAAACAATCAGGCCATGTTGAAGCAATGCTGGCGAGAAAGGAACCGAAACACAGGCGGCTCGAACCTCTCCGTACCTCTGGCGCGAAACTGGTGAAATCACCGGTGCTTGTTGCCATGCGATCTCGTTGTTCCAATTTTCGTTGTCAAGATGATGTTGTCAAATGGGACCTGACACAACCCCTTTCAATCTGTCATCTCTTGTTTGCTCCGAATCCCCTTTGAAGGGTGCTTGATCAATTGGATATCCTCAATTTGGATGTTGAAACAAAACCAAAAGCTGCCCTGCAGGACTGCAGGACTTCCCCCCCCCGCCCCAAAAGGCCCCCCCCGGTCCGTTTCCGAGCGCATCTCTCGACAGGGCATCATGGCCATTCAGTTGGCGCCTTTGCCCATCTTCGACCAGACCTTGCGGAAGGTCGCCAGGCCCGAGAACCGTTTTCGGGGCCCGGCATTGCAAAGCGCAGCAACATGGGTGTGCTTGTTTTTAGGGGACCCCCCAAAATGGTAGTTGTCCTTTGGCATTCCTTTAAGACCAACCCAAAAGGGGGTCCCTGAAAAAGACATACCCACATCGTGCGCGCAAAGCGGGCGGACGATGCACGGAGACGAGAAACATGTGCCTTCCAAGCAAGGAAGTAGACGCGGGGCGTCCCCAAAAGGAAAGTGGCGATCCAAACCCCTCCAGCTTCCATGCTTGTTGGAGAGACGAAAAACAAACAAGGTAGGCAACAAGGAAGTAATTGGTGAGCGCAGCACTGCGAGTTGTTTTCTCTTTTTTATGTTGTTATGTTTAGTGCAGACCCATTCTTTGGAGTGATTTTGAAGGTGTTATCCTGATCTCATGTATTACATACAGATTCATTGTCACCCAAATGTGTTGTTTAGCAGCCAAACAGTACAGAAACCATAAAGACTTGACAGCCAAGAAGACTAAAAAGACATGTCTGGAATTCGTTGTTTGGATGGTATGCTGTGGGTCTTTGTGGAAGGGAGGGAATCACCCTAGTATCAGTTTTTGTTTTTTGAAATCCCAGTTTTTAGAGCATAAATGATGGTGGTGGCTCTTGAGTATGTTTTTGTTCGTCCTAATGTTTTATCACCTCGAGCACGCTCAAGGGCCAAGCCCTTTGGAGAGCTGGGATGGATGCCCGGATTCGAGACACGCAGCCGTATCTTGTCGGCTCCCAGCCGTCCTGTTCCTTACGCTTTTAGGCAGGCTGGTTTGGCTGGTTTAGTCCGTATCAACCCTCCAACAGTTAGTCACTCTTAGTAAGGGATCCGTTTGGACAGCCCCGTTTTGTGTGTGGTGCATGAATCACTGCGTGCCTTGCAGGTGCATCGACGATACGGAGTTAGCAGAGCTGGCAGCACAGACCGAGCCGCCTGAGGACAGTCTTGGAAAGATGGCTGGGTGATGTAAGTGACGCCCCTGTTGCAGGGTTTCGACGTTTGCCTCCTGATTAGAACGCCCCCCCTCAAGGTTGACAAGGTCAACCAAACGCAGCGTCCTTCCGTAAAAATCCGGTTGCCCTCCTCTCCTGTTTCAGTCTGTAGGAGAGCTAGAAAGAAACCGCCTTTGCTTTTGCAGGGCTGGAGAGAGCCTGGATGAATGAGGGGGGGCGGTGTGTTAAGGCTTGTTAAGGGGGTGCTGGCCCTCAACAAGTGCCCTTTCTGGGCTTGTCAAAGCTTGTTAAAAAAGGCATTTGCTGTTTCCGGCCAGCGCCTTTTCGGATTTGAAAGTAATTTTGGCTGGCAGAGGGGTAAGACGAACAGTGTTGAACAGGCGGAGTATTAGTCAGGTGTCAAGGTGCTCTCCAGTGCCGCCTTTTGTTTAGAAGACCATTGTTCTTGTCACCATCTGCTCTCGTTGGCACAAAAGGCCCCTCTGTGGAGGGCACCCGCCTTCATGGGAAACAGCAGTTGTGGGTCGAAAACGGCGCTCGAAACTGTAATGCTGACTGCAAGCGAAACCACGTTGTCCCTTGTTGAGTCACCTCTTTCCGTACTTAGGTCGACCTGTCAAGCTATTAATACTGCGGAATCGATACACATTGTCAATACCTGCCGGAACCTCTTCATATAAGGGTTGGTTCTTTTGTTGTTTGCCGTTGCTGAGCTACAGGAGTCCAGTGCGACAATCAAGTCACTGAATGGCAGTGCCAGCTCTACTCAAGACGATATGCACATTTGTTCAGATTGGCGACCTTTGTGTTGTTTTTTTCTTCTTCTTTTTTTTGTTGCATTATTTTGGGACAGGCTGACTCTCAAGTCGAAGAGCGGATGCCAGTGCCATGCAAACACCAGAGCGAGACCGGGTTGATGACAGGGAATTGAAGAGCGGAGGCCCTGTTGAACCGCACTTGTCGGTGAGCAATTCCTCATCTGCCAAATTTGAAACCCAACTGCCAGCAACCATTTTGGGTTGGGCCAACCATTTCCGCCATGACATTTTATCTTCCTCTTGTTTGGGCGGGATTACATCCAGCACCCAGCTGTTTTGTCCCATGTCCAACATCCCCAAGTATCCAACAAGCACTTGGGAAGCGGGGTGGTGGATAGGGGTCGTAGCTATTTGGTTTTGGGATGACACCCAAGGAACTTTTGGAGAGGCGGCACCTCCGGTGAGGTTTTGTTGGAAGGTTTTAACCCAACCTCCCCCCCCCCAGTCGGTGCCGTGCGTGAGAACATGCAGCGGGGAGCCTTGGGCACCGGCGTGGAGCGCCTGCTGGTGCTGAAGCCCAGAGAGTGAGCTTCCGGGGAAAGCGTCCCTATGGCTCGCTGGTCTTTTCGAGTTGGTGCCCTGTAGCTTGGGTTGGGGACATAAAGAGGAAGATTTGGGGGCGAGTCGAAACGAAGACACGCCTAAATTTCCGGTGCTTGGTGGTTGTGGAGATCACCTGTTTCGGCACATGTGCAGGGGGCAAATCACTACATATACAGTGTTCACTTGGCAGCATGCTCCTTAGCACATATGGAGCGCGCGCACAACACCGCCTGCAGCAGACACTTTTGCAACTGTCTCTCACTGCAATTAAGGTTGTGGGTCAATCAGTCGCGCGATGTCGCGCGATTCTGAAACGATACCTCTCAGTGCCGTGGGCCACTTGTCCAGCACAGGCTGACGTGGAAGTGCTTCTGTTCCCCTTCCCCTAGCTCCGTTCCTACTCAAGGTTTTTTTTTCTCGCGCCCGCCGCCACATTTGCAGCGGCACGCCAGCGCTTAAACCGATACCCAAACCGATACCCAAAAGGACACCCCTCGAATTGCAGCTGCCGCGTTGCGCGGGCATGGCCATGTCATTATGAAGTGTAGCTTGCGTTTGTTGCCGCTTTCCTGCCTCTCTCTCTTTCTCTCTCTCTCTCTCTCTCTCTCTCTCTCTCTCTCTCTCTCTCTCTCCGGTTTCCTACCTCTGCTGTTCCTTTTCCCTCGTCTTGCTCGTTCTGCTTATATTGCTGCCTGCTCCGCTTCCCGTTGTCTATTTCTTGCTTCCTGCTCCAGCTTTGCCTCGTGGCCTCCTTTCTTCTTCCTTACAGTAACACACATATGTTTAGACGCATAGCGCGGAAGTGCGCAGAAGGTCCGTGGGAGGTGAGGCGGGAGGCCTTTTTGCTTTTTGAAACAAGGAAGATATAGGACAACCCCTTTGGTGCCTCGCTGCAAAGAGCTTTGCTTGAGTTTTCGTAAGCCTTGGTTCTTGTTTGCCCCGGGCAGCCTTTTCCCATCGTGCCTCTTCACGCACGTCTCCAGGCGGCCCTCGCCTGGGTGTTGGACCCTGAGTGCAATTGCGACCGCCGCTGGTCTCAGTCCCGGCAGCTGCTGCTGGACGAAGGCGGCAGCGTCCTTGCAGTGAAGGGCTGGCGCTCATATATGGGTGCTTTGTTTTTGGAGGGAGGGTACCCTATTTTGGGGGGTTTGTTCAGATGGAAACCAAAAGAAAGGGTTTCCCTATTTTGAGGTATTTTGAGACAACCCCAAGTGATATGAGCCAAAGTGATGCGAGTGCTATGTATTTTGAACCCAACTTACCTGAAAGAACTATGCGACGTCGTTAGGCGGAGAGAAGCCAATGTGTGCGTGATGGGCTGCTAATCGACAGCGCCAGCTTACAGCGTGAGGTTGGTAGGTGACAACCGCAAAAATATCTATGATCTGATGGCAGTGATGGCAACAACAAGCACAACCACAGCCACAACCGCAGCAACAAAAGCAACAACACCAGCACCGGACTCAGCTGCGACAGCAACCGCAACCCACAAATCACAAAAGAGGCCTCTCGCTTGGACAAATAATTTGCTGGAATTCCTGGAATCGCGTTTGGCGAATCTGCGGCCATTTGGCCCCTTGTCGTCGACCCTGTGGATAGCATGCCAAGCAAAGCACCAGCCAAAACAGGGCCCTCAAAAGAGAGGCAGGGGAATCGCTCAAATGAAACTGAAGCTGACAAGCTTGAAATGCATCATTTGGCCTGGGTAGTCTGGACTCAGCTCTTCGCCTTGACAGGGGGCCATGGGCCTTTTGAGTTGAGACTGAAAGCTTATTTGGGTGTGCCTTTTTTTTGAGAGTGCCCTTTGTACCCTGGTTTTTAGTTAAGGGAAACCAACAAGAGAATCGGGTATCCATTTCTTGGGAGCGGGTGAGCTCACCTTGCCTTTTGCGACTTGGCTCATGGGATGAGATGGCCGCTGCTTCTGGCACTGGCACCAGCCTTCCTTTCGCCGCTCAGGCGATCCGCTCCGGATGGATTGGGCGGATGGGTGTGGTTCCTGTTTTGGTGTCTTTCTTGGGGGAGGGTTTCCCTACTGAAATAGAGTACAGAACAAAAGGGTACCCTTATTTTAAACTCTCTACTGGAGGACCTAGCTTTCGGAGTTGCTTTCGCGGGTAACAAAGGGACACCGCTCGTTACGGCTGGACTAGCCTCTCTTTCCAAGCCTCTCGCTCCCAGAAAGGACGGGCGCTTCCAACATGTCCAAGTTAGCCCAGCCGCGAACGTCCGCCCACAAAAGGCCCAGCTTGGTGCAAGATGGCATGTGCCAGGGCACAGAAGTCAACATCATTGCCTTGCGCAAACCCTGCGACAAAAGGACAATGTGAAGAGAAACAGAACAACCTCAAACCAAGGATCCTTTTTAAACACACAAATCACAAACAAACACGAATTGAGTCACACTAACGTACTTCTTATGTATGCAGGTCTCCCCAAATAATTCAAGGATAAAGCGGTTTGTCTCACTATCCAGGAAAAAGAATCTAGAAACTGCCCCATCAATTGACTGGATGGGCAAACATGTCCATCATTGGTGTTTGCTGCTTGCAGCACTGCAGCACTGGCAGTTTGCCTTCTCAATGCCCGCGGTTCGCACCGACAAGTCAACACTGAGGGTGAGGAATCTGCTTGAATCACTCGGTGGCTGTGCCCAAATTCGACCTTTGGTGGTGGCTTGACTTTCTTTGTGCTCGTTGCAATTGATTGCCACTCGTTACACCCAGGTGTGTTGTCGTTGGATCGGAGGGTGACACTCAGCTTGGGTACGAAACGCCATACCAGCCATACCAGCGGCACCACCTTCGGCATGTTGACATGTTCACTCGTGCCAGGCGAACGGCAGTGCAGCGACGTGCTACGTTGAATGAGGCTTCTCAAAGTCTTGCCGTTTGGATGGGGAAAGGGGATAACAAGAGAGATTCCCCTGTTTGGGAAGATTTTGAAATGTGCCAAACTGGCGTTAGGCACTGTGAAGAGCTCCTTTGACTGCAATTATTTTGATGGAGGCGACAAAGGGATTGCGCCCCCTAGTGGGGGAGGTCGCAAGGTTAATTCGATGCGCAAGATCCAATGCCGCTTGTTGATCGACCAGGATTGGCTGAGCAGGGTTGAGCAGGGTTGGTCGCTTCTTTGAGCGTGGCCTGGTTACATTGATCGCGATGTGCCAGTCCATACCTCCTGTTTGGAGGTTCGTTACGCGTGTCATATTATGTATAACGCAATCATGTTTACATCAATGCTGGCCTGCCAGTTCCCATCTTGGTCAGTTCATACTCTCACCGGGGTGCTGTTTTACTTAAGGATGTTGTATTCCGCTGACTTTGGATCTGTGTCCACGCCACTTGGCAAGCCAGCCAGCCAGCCAGCAAGCCAGCAAGCAAGGCAGCGCCCGAAACCCACCCCAACAAAAACGCCAAAAGCGCAGAACAACGCACAACCGTGGGATAAGAGTTCTCGGAAAAAACGAGGCGGCCCTCTTACCCGATCTAGTCATAAGTACCAATCTTGTTGCCGGGCCAAACGTGAAAATACATGTTGACCAAGTTGCCTAAGCTTAGGCTGTTTTTTTCTTTTCTTTTCCCAACAGCTGAAAGCTTTGGGGTCTCAGCCCAGATAGGCTCCGGGGTGGTCCGGGGCGGCCCTGAGGTAAGGTTCCACGAGGGTTTCACCACGGTTCCACCAGGTTCCACCAAAGTTCCACTAGGTTCTGCAAGGGCTGCGGGGTGGTCCGGGGTGGTTTGAGGTAAGGTTCCACGAGGGTTCCACGAGAGTTCCACCAGGGTTCCACCAAAGTTCCACTAGGGCCCCACCAGGTTCTGCAAGGGCTGCGGAGTGGTCCGGGGCTTTGGGGTCTCAGCCCAGATAGGCTCCGGGGTGGTCCGGGGCGGCCCTGAGGTAAGGTTCCACGAGGGTTCCACCAGGGTTCCACCAGATTTCCACCAAAGTTCCACTAGAGTTCCACCAGGTTCTGCAAAGGCTGCAGGGTGGTCCGGGGTGGTTTGAGGTAAGGTTCCACGAGGGTTCCACGAGAGTTCCACTACAGTTCCACCAGGTTCTGCAAGGGCTGCGGGGTGGTTCCACGAGGGTTCCACCAGGGTTCCACCAGCGTTCCACCAAAGTTCCAATAGGTTTCCACCAGGTTCTGCAAGGGCTGCGGGGTGGTCCGGGGTGGTTTGAGGTAAGGTTCCACAAGTGTCCACGACAGTTCCGCCAGGGTTGCACCAAAGTTCCACCAAAGTTCGCAAGGGCTGCGGGGTGGTCCGGGGTGGTTTGAGGTAAGGTTTCACGAGGGTTCTACCAGTGTCCCCCAGCAATTTCCACCAGGGTGGTTTGAGCCACAAGGGTTCCACAGGGTTCCACCAGCGTTCCACCAGGGTTCCACCAGAGTTCCACCAGGTTCTGCGCTGCGGGATGGTTCCACCGCGTTCCACACAGAGTTCCACAAAAATCCACAAGGGTTCCCAAGGGTCAAGCGACGTGTTGTGCGCCCCATCGGAGCAGGAAAATTGAGGGCTCAGAAGATCGCTTTGCTCATGGGCGGAACTCTAAGCAAAACCGAAATCAATGGTTTTCAGCTCATCTTGACTGTTTTGACTTGCTCACCTGCTCAGACAACGCGGCCCGAAATGTTGGCTTTGTGGCAAATCAGATCACGATGCTGCGGGGCTCACTGTGCAGAAGAGTAATGCTTGGCATTACTGATTTGGGCTTTAAGGGTTCCACGAGGCTGCGAGGGCTATGGGGTAAGGTTCCGAAAACGCTCCACGAGGTTTTCCACCAGGTTCTGCAAAAGCTATGGGGCAGCCCTGAGGAAAGGTTCCAACAAAGCTTCACGCTGAGTTTTACGAGGGTTTTACGAGGATGGTTTGCGAGGCCACGTCGGGGCCCGATCGCACCGTCGGGGCCCGATTGCAACGTCGGGGCCCGATGTCGACACCGTCGAGGCCCGATCGGGCCCCGATTGCGCCGTCGGGCCCCGATCGGGGCCGGACTCAGTCGGGCACTGTACCAAGCTGGCGTCGCCTAGTTTTGCTGGATACTGTTGTAAGGCCGCACCCTAAGGAAAACCGGCGTTTGGGGTTGGTAAGAGCCCGCCTGCGCCACGGGACCATCCAACCCTGGTCGGGGCCCGATTGCACCGTCGGTTGCACCGTTGGGCTGCGGTGTCGGGCCCCGATAAGGGCGCGATTGCGCTGTCACTCTTAGCTTGGCTTATAAAGTTACTAGGCGGCATCCTCAGCAAAACCGGCGCTGAGGTGGGTTTCGGGGCGGGTTCCGCGAGGATTCTGGGAGGGCGGGATATCGCCTGAGCTTATTTATTTTTTATAAATGCTGTTGACCAAGTTGCCAAAGATTTGTTTTTTGTTTGCAAAATTCGTCAGTCTCTCTCTCTATATATATATATTCGTATATGCACCTTTATATATCATTATGCACATGGTGTTCGGGGAATGGGAAAGGACACCCTCCATGTAGGCGTTTCGTGCCTCGGTTCCGGACTTTTGACGTTTGCATGGACACCGCCGACTGGCGCGAGAGGCCCTGGACATTTTCGGGCTGGAGGTGGTGCCGAGTGCCTCGGAGCTCAGGACCGGATCATCGGATCGCAGAGCCCCCGTCGTTGATAATATGGCGGAATGTTGACCTCATATTCATCAACCCCGGTTTCCCCAAGTATCCATAAACCCACTTCAAACACGCCTTTTTGCGGGTGTAGCCTTTAAGCCCACCAAACGGGGGTACTTGAAGATGCTTAACTCACTTAGGTTGCAACCTTGGTAAGGGGACGATCACCGCGTTTACCCAAGTTAGAAGCATGGCCTTTGCTAAGGTTGAACATCCAAGTGATTCAAGAGTAAGATCTAATCTTTTGGCCTCGAGCGTGTGTCGTTTATGCCAAAGGGGTTTGGCGCTTGGATTTGAAATCCTGAGCTCCCGTTTGTGTTGCTTTTCGCTCGAATGGGCCCTTGAAGCGTTTGTTGAGGCTCTTGCTCGGGCCTTATTTGAGGGACATGAGGGGGTATGATGCTATGAAGAGTGTCCTGCCTGAAAGCTCCTTGATTGGCAATCTTTCGTTTTTGGGACCTCCTGGTCGCCAGCTTTTTTTAGCAGGTGCTCTTGGGGCAGCCTTTGCTTTAAACTCTTAGACGGGCGCATTCCGCAGGAGAGTCTTCCGAAAGCTGGCGGCGAAAACGCATCCGGACGTGACTGGCTCTGAAGAGGCCTTCCGGAGAATGGTGGAGTCCCAGCTGCAAAACATCCACGGCAACCTGCGCCTGTCCGTGTTTAGAGTTGATACTTTTGTTTGTGCGGTTTTTCAAGGGAAGCCAAAGGAACATTTACAGACTTTTGCCAGGTTCACGCTGAACATAGAAACGGAAGTGGGAGAGGGGTGAGTTTCATAATCCCCTTTGCAGGGACTAGGCGGAACCCACCCTTACAATCAAGGTGCTGGAAGATCTTTGCAGAGTGGTTTGGTTTCATGCAGCATTGTGTCAATGATTTTCTTACCTGGCCGAATCATAGCATCGCGACACCTACAACGAAGTTCAATGCTTTGCAGTTCGCAAGCCGGTGTTGCGCCCAAGCAATGTCATGTAGCGCAAACACTCTTTTATTTAGTAGTAAGGCTCATAGCTGTAATGTTATTCGCCACACAAGCAACCGCCCCCCACAGATATCCCTTCCATTTAATTTGGGCGTGCTTACTTTGAGAGGAGACCAAAGGGAAACGCACTCAGAATGTGGGTCGTCCTTTTGGCTTCCCTCCCAAACCTACAAAAATGGGTACCAACTCTGAAAAAGACCACCTGAGAAGCCCATGATAAGCGCTGGCCAAGGAGGCCTACCGCCAGCTTCAGAGCGCCGACCCCGGCGCAGGCGGGGAGGTGGGGAGGCGGGGACGCGGGCGGGCGCAGGGTGGCCTCCCCCGCTTCCTGAGAACGTGGACTTTCTTCGTCGCTGGTTGGGGGTTGGACCATTTTTCGCGGCACACGACAAGTGTTCACATGTTCTGGGCCCACTCAAGAAGAAGGGGGCCTTCCACAGTCGCCGGTTTGGTGAAGAACGAAAAACGTGTCCATCAGTGGAGGATGTGGCCAAAGGAATATTCAGGTGATGGGGATTCGCCCAAATTTCATGAACCTTGCTTGTTCGGTTGTCAGAGATTTGCCTAGCTAGATTCAGCTAAATATGCAACTTGCCATCAGAATGGCGCCGCAAAGCGGCGAAGTCTGTATAGTATAGGCTTGATGAGACAAGGCAGTTGCACGATTGTACCGAGCAAAGCTGCAGTGACCGGCCGCCAGCCTTTTCACCTGAGGTGGCCATGGGTCAAAATCCCGTACCTCCAGTGAACATCCCAATCCCCACTAAAATGGACTAAAATGGGTGGTGCGCCTACCCCAAAATGGTGCCATTGGTTTTGGCCCACAGCCAGGCAAAGACAAAGATGCAGTGGATGAGTTCCTGCAAGACTGGCTGTCGGAATCCGTCCTGGGCTGGGGCGACTTCGCGCAGATTGAGCCACTCAGCAAAATGCATGGATCCCCAACATACAAGTATACATGGTAATCACATTTTGGATGGCTTCAGTTGGAAACAAGCAAGCTAAGCTACCCACTTAGACAGTTGTTTTTTCCTTTTTGTTTTCCGAGAGATCTCCATGTTGCCTGCCTTCCACTAGCATCCATTCTATGTTCAGAAACGCCTGTTGTTCATGTTGAAATCGAACAATCCAGTTGGCCCCTGCAGAATGACATGTGACTTAAAAAGGCAGCGTTGTTGAGATTCGTTTCTCCACGTGTGCCTTCAACTGCAGGCGTGACACAGATGACGATGGCTGGGCAGGACGAGCTCCGGTTCTAAATAACTTTGTCCGCAGGCGGGAGCATGCGCAGGGGTTCGTCTCAGGGTGAAGATTGTTGAGTCTCAGTGCAAGAGGACGCAATTGCTCATAGACGTTCATTTGTATGTCGCGTTCAGCAGCAACCAACATCAATATCCCAACATGCAGATGAATGCCATGTGATGATGTGTTGGAACAAAGATGGGTCGAGAGCCGAAAGGTGTTGCTGAGTTTTGCCGCGTTGCGCTGAGTTGCTTGGATTGAAGATTGAGAGCGCTACTTCAAGCGAAACTCCTGTAGTTGCAAAGACACCAACAATTGTTTAATGTTGGAACATGTGGAAACATGTACTGTGTAGGCAATGCTTGGCCAACATGGCGTATATGCCGTTTTGGCTCAAGCATTGCCTTGGGTTTGTTGAACCCTCTGTAGTTTAAAAACACCCATTGCAATGGCCTCTTCGGTGTCTACCGTGTCTTCGTTCGAGTTGGTGGAGGAGCAGCAGGTCACGGAGGCGGATGTGGCGATGGCCACCCAGGAGGCGCAGGAAATGCGCGACCGGGAGGCAGCAGTGGCCGCAGGCTTGGTGTTGGCGGAACCTTCCACCCCCCCGGAGGGCACGGCAGCGGACGTGGTGGATAGCCTCTCCAAGGCCCTGGAGCACCTGCAGTTTATGCTCGACCGCCCCGAGTCCGGCAAGGGTGCCTCCGGCCCCGCGGACGAGGGTGACGTGGATATGGGCGATGCGGTACCCAGTGACGAAGCCCCGCAGGCCAAGAAGATGAAAGGATTTGTGGCGGCCTCGAAACCCATTCACGCGGTGGAGAACAAGCTAGTCACCCTCGAACCGGTGGTGAGCAAGGCTGGTTACTTCAAGGTGGTGGACCTCCCGGACGCCTTCCCGCTGCTGCCGGCTTGAGCCGCGGCTTTGCTGCGGGACACAACGGTGCTGGAAATGGGGGCCCTCTTCCACAAGTTTGTCGGCAAGGGCCTCACGGAGGACTTGGTTCTCCGCATCTTGGAAGCCTATGTCCCGATGAAGATCCAGCTCCGGCAGGAGGAGGTGTGGCGCTCGCAGTTCCAGCAAAACAAGGTGGGGATTGGCGCCCAGTGGATGCCGGGCAGGCAGACTACGACCGCATGTGCAAGTCGTGCGGCACTGGGTGGCCGGAGGCGGCCAAAGCAGTGTTGGCTTTGCCCGGGCTTGGAGTCCGTTCCATACCAGGCGCCTTCGACCACGAGGGCATCACCTACCACTTGCGGATCTTGGACGGCAAGCCGGTCTGGTTCCAGCAGCAGGACGGGGGAAGCCAGGGTGCCTCCGGCCCCGGCGGATCCCAGAAGGCAGCGGACCGGAAGTTTGTGGATGGCTCCAATCTGGGGAGGGCCCCCACCGAAGACGGACTCTATGGACGAGATCACGATGGGGGACGTGGTTCCTTTGGACAAGCGGGTGGACATCAGGCAGGAGATCCTCACGATGGATGCGGATGCGGAGGCCACCAACATCCAGGCGGACCACCGGGTGCGGGTGAAAGTGCAGCGGTCCCTCCAGGAGGCGGAGGCCCAGAGCTTCAAGCTCTACCGCCCCCAGATCGATGCGGCGATCAAGAAGAAGGCCGCACTCCAAGAGGTCCTGGCCAGAAAGCGGGAGTTGGCCCCGGAAGAGGTCAGTTGCACAAGGAGATCATCACGGACGAGCTCCTGGACAATGAGATGGCGGTCCTTGCCCCGATCCAGGACCTGGAGGGGAGGAGTGCGGACGCGGGCAAAGCACTCACGGAGGCCATGGGCTCGGTCACGGAGGCCCAGACGGCAAACCAGCGCATCCAGGAGGCCAACCAAGCATGGATGAAGAACCACTCCCTCTCTAACCCGCGGAACTCCAGCGCGCCCTGGAGAAGGGTCTCTTCTGTCCCCTGGAACTGCAGGACCCGCCATCGGCAGAAAACATCAAGGAGAAGTATATCCCCTTCATCCAGCAGTTGCGAGAGTCAAGGAATCCGTGGAAGGAGGCGGAACTGCTGGCGGAGATGCCGGAGGTGGCGACTGTGGCCCCCTTCAAGGGTGCCTCCGGCCCCGGTGACGACCAGCCGGCGCCCCAGCCAGACCTGGAATCGGACTGGCCCTCATCCTCTGGGCTATCAAGCGGCACCAAGGCGAACTCCGGGGTGTGGAAGAACCCAGAGGGCCCGGGATAAACTTTTTCTGATCCAATGTTTTGGGTATTGATCTTGGCCGTGGGTATTGGTATTTCATGTTCTTGTGGCCTGCTTTGTTTCTCTGCAAAAGATCAATATTTTACCCAAAACAGATTGATACCCTGGATAGTGTTTTCAAAAGGAAATATTGATATTGCAGCTCTGCAGAAGGGCTGTTGCAACCTACCTCTAAAAACAGGCGCCCCCTTATACAAGATAATACATGCTTTTCTGGCCCCTAAAGTCTTTATACAGATGCACTGCAGAAGTGTGTCCAACATAGTGGACTGGTCTAGCTTTTGAAAATTGTAGTTTTAAACAGCCGAAAGGCGCTGCAGAAGTGCCTTATAATTAGAGCAAGAGAAATGCCTATAATGCGCCCCTCACTAGCTGAGCTGGCTCTAAAAGCAGAAAGGCTGCAGCCCTGCAGAAGGGCTGTTGCAACCTACCTCTAAAAACAGGCGCCCCCTTATATAAGATAACGCATGCTTTTCTGGCCCCTAAACTCTTTATACAAATGCAACTGTCCTATTATAAGCGCATAGTGGACTGGTCTAGCTTTTGAAAGTTGTATTTTTAAACAGCCCAAGGCACTGCAGAAGTGCATTATAATTAGAGCAAGAGAAACGCCTATAATGCGCCCCTCACTAGCTGAGCTGGCTCTAAAAGCAGAAAGGCTGCCATGGTTTTGCCAGTTGACCAAAGCCTCTTAGATGTGGCCATCAGCACCCGCAAGACATGGAGCAATGTGGGGGCTTGTGAGTCATTGTCTAAGACACAGGCAGCCAATGGCAACTCCTTAGCTGATCAGTTTGCGCCTGGCCCTAAAGCAACCCCTGTGTCTTTTGTCTTATTTCTGTGTGGCATCGGCCTAAAACAGCGAAAAGGTTGTAAACCATAAGTTGTCCAAGCAAGGACCTTCTCAAGTGCCTCTTGGCCATCCAGCCAGATGGGATGTTCCTTCTGAGCCATTCTCAAAGTTGTTGGCCCCCTGACAGCATTTCAAGCTGCTGGTTCATGTTTTGGTGGTGCCTTTTTAAGGGCAATTTTGCAAGGGCAGAAAACACAACTTTGCAACTTGAGGTCTAGAGCCCAAGATCAATGCCACAGAGATGAAGAACATCACTTGGGCAGGTGGACGCTTTGAAAGGATTGCCACCATGCTTTACCACCTGCGACGAGCCAAGAACCAGACTGAGAAGTACCAACAGCTGGCACCTTTGGCTGTGTTCCCAACAAAAACAATGCCTAAGCCCATTTGGTTTTTAGCTGAATTCTTAGCCTACCCTTTTCTATGTGAACTGAGGTAGCTAAGTGTGATGCTGCAGCTCTGGGGAAAGCGCAAGAGCTTTTGAGCATGCTCAAAAATGATGGTGAAGAATCTTCCACACCCAGCACCCAGGATCTCACACCTTTGCATGAGAAGGGACCTCAGAAAACCTTTGAGCCCCAAGCTGTTCAAGGTGACAAAGCTGGTGGCAAGAATGCAGCTTCCTCCAAGAAGCCTTGCAAAAGAGCCTGAACAGCTTGAAGCTTCTAGCCACCAGAAGCATGTGACTTTCAAGAAGGAGTACTACAAGTCAAACAACACCTATGGTGTGAGGAAGCTCTTTGGCCATATGGCTTTGCTTTGCCCTTGTTTTATAGCAAACAGAAAGCAACACACCCCTTCAACTCAGGTATGAGGATGGCAAGAAGAGCAAGCAGGTGTTCTGCTTTGGCAACAAGGCAGTACGCAAGCGCTCCCTTGATGAGCTGAGCTGGCTGGCGCAATTATTTTTTTGGAAGGGTATATGTGGTTGTGGTTGTTACCTGGGTCCTCAAAAAGCAATCTTTGAATCAAATCAACCCAGGCTGCAAGGTGCTTCATGACTTGAACAAGCATGCCACAAATGGTGACAAAATTGAAGAGATCATGCTGGTTGCCAAGCACAAGGTTTGGAAGATCCAGCGCCAGGCCCACACCAAGTGAGCATATTATTTATTTTGGGGGCTGCTGGTGCACCTGAACACCAGCCAGGGGCGAAACCAACTTCCTTGCTTGGACATCTTGGTGGGTGAAAATGCGATGGGTCCAGGGAGGCTGTGTGTCAGGGTGTATAAAAATATGTGTAGTTATTTGGGCAATCCTTTTTTGTGGCTTGCATTTTGCAATGAACAAGGGACAAGGCCCTGCAGAAGGGCATAACTGCACATTAGTTAGGGTGCTTGGGGCCTAGGCATACCTTCGCATCAACCCTTAAAAAAGCATTGAGCACATGAATTTATAATTGGTCAACAGTGAAGCCTTGCAGAAGGGCTTATCACATGAATTTATAATAGTCACCAGTGAAGCCTTGCACAAGGGGCCTATCAAAAGAAACCACCACTGCTTATTATTGTCAGGCAATATTAGCTAGTTACACCCTGGCCTTGCAGAATGGCACAGGCAATAGACATGCCAGGTAACCATGCTCAGCTTCTGCAGCTGCTTAAGCCTAAGTAAATTGCAAAAGAATTACCGTCTAAGCTTCTGCAGCTGTCAAGTAAATGCTTCTGCAGCTGTCTAGGCCTAAGTGAATTGCAAAAGCATTACTACCTAAGCTTCTGCAGCTGTCTGGGCCTAAGTAAACTTACATAGGGATGCTAGTTTTACCCTAACTTGGCGATTCTCTGCCCTGCAGAAGGGCATCAGCTTTGAAGCAAATGATTTCCAGCTTCTGCAGCTATTGTGCTCAACATGGACCTGGAATTTTTTTCCAGTGGGCAGCTACCAATGGCGCTTCTTTCAATGCCAGGGAAAGAAGGCTAGAAGGGTGGGCCAGCAGCAGCTATTGGGCCTGCTCAGCCAGTCAT